CTACTACGACTGCTACTACAACTACTACTGCTACGAACACTACGACTACTACTACTACTACTACTACTACTACTACTACTACTACTACTACTAGTTACTACTACTACTACTACTACTACTACTACTACTACTACTACTACTACTACTACTACTACTACTACTACTACTACTACTACTACTAAACTACTACTACTAAACTACTACTACTACTACTACTACTAATAATAATAATAATAATAAACTACTACTACTACTACTACTACTACTACTACTACTACTACTACTACTACTACTACTACTACTACTACTACTACACCTCATCGCCATTTGCCTCCTCACTCTCCTGCAGCTCCTCCTCCTCCTCCTCCTCCTCCTCCTCCTGCTTCTCCTCCTCCTCCTCCACCTCCTCCACCTCCTCCACCTCCTCCACCTTCCCCACCTCCTCCTCCTCCTCCGACGCTTGCAGGAGGGGCTGCTGGGAAGAGGAAGGGAGGAGGAGCAGAAGCGCGGGAGGAGCGGGGGAGAAATGAAGGAGGAAAGAGGAGAAGACGGAAGAGGAGGAAGAGGAGGATGAAACGGGAGAAGGAATCGAGGAGGAGGGAGAGGGAACATGGGGGAAGAGGAGAAGGAATGTGAGGATGACGAGGAGGAGAAGGAGGAGGAGAAGGAGGAGAAGGAGGAGGAGGAGAAGGAGGATGAGGAGGAGCTAGGGGGAGGAAGAGGAGAGCGCCGGAAGGGGAGGAGGGGGAGTCATCTTCCTCCCCCTCGCCTCCCTCTCCCCCCCCCTCTGGATGCAGACAAGAAGCCTGGACCACGCCGTGAGGAGGAAGGTCGCAGAGAAAAACGCACGGCCGATCAGCGCCACCGGGTCCGAGTCCAGGTACTCCCTCGCCTCGCGAGGGGGGGGCGTCAGCTCCTCCTCTCCCTCCTGCGCCCCCTCCCTCCTCCCTCCTCTCCCTCTTCCCTCCCCCCCTCGTATCCCCTGTCCATGTCCACGCCCTCGTAATCTGGACCCCGGGGTGCGATGACGCGGATGCGCGGTCGCAAGGATACGTTCCGTGCGGGGCATCCGCGGAGAAACGCTCCGTATCCACGGGGTCGCAGCCAAGGCGTCCAGCCCGCGGGGCCACGGACACGACCGCGCTTGCCGCCCACGAGGGCAGGACAGCCCAGCGAGCCCAGCCACGAGCCCGCTCGGCGCGCCCGGGGCTGCTGCCGCGGGGCCACGCGGTGTCGGCCGCGACAGGCTGCTGGGGGCCCGGGGGGCGCCGCGGCCGGCACCGTGGCTGCAGCAGCGACGAGGCGGGTGCCCCGCTCAGCCGTGCCCTCGTCCATCCAATCTTTCTCCTCCACCTCCACCTCCCTCCCTCCCTCCCCTCCCATCTCCTCCTGCTCCTCTCCATCACCCCATCCCCTCCTGGATTCGGGCACGCGCTGACATGGATCAGGGATCCGTGGATCTGGCAAGTGGGCGGGCGCCACATCCACGGACCGGGGAATGCATCTCCGAAACATGAGGCAACCGCTGCCTGATTAAGCGAACCGGAGCAACGATTCTCCACGGAAACGGGACCCGTCGCTAATTCACGCGCCTCAACTCTCAAACCACGTTTGCGATTCGTCGAACCATGCTGATGCTCCTCCTTCGACTTCCTCCCACCGTAACCGTGCGGTTTACGGCACGTGAGGCCGCTCCCAGTTCTGGAGAGTGCGAAAACAAGGTGCGCTTACACATACGGATTACGAGGAGATTGACACGGAGGAAGGGGGAAAGAAGTGGAGGAGGCGTATGAGGATGAGGATGAGGAGGAGGAGGAGGAGGACGAGGAAGAGGAGGACGAGGAGGATGAGGAGGAGGAGGAGGAGGAGGAGGAGGAGGAGAGGGGGGAGGAGGAGAAGGAGGAGGAGGAGGAAAAGGAGGAGGAGGAGGAGGAACATCGAGGAGGGAGAATCGGGGAAAAGGCCGGGCGGAGGACAAAGAGGAAGACAATGACGCCCGACGATGATGACGGTACGATGAGTTGCCCGAGCCCATCTGCTCTGCGCTTCTTGGCGCAGAGAGGTGCCGCCCCAAGCGGGGGGCAGCGGGCGAGTCAATGACAGAGTGGGTGAGCGAGAGGCAGGAGAAGGATACCGACGACCCCAGACCTAGACGGCATCATGTTCTTAACGTTGACCCCCAGAGATCGCGACCCATTCCCCAGAACGGGCGTTTCATCCTGAGTCGTTCTTTGACGGCCTTGGTGCCTCTAATGGCCCCCGGAGGCAGAAAATTGCTCAAAACCCTCCTCCGTGTTTTTGCACAACTCGAGGGGGTCTGGGGCGATGACGAAAACGACGAGACAGCCTCCATCGGCTGCCTCCCCAGCGTTTTCCAGAAGTCCCCCCTGCTCCTGCGCCTCCTCCCTGGGGCGCGGAGCGCGCCAGGTGCGGCGCCAGAGGCTCCGCCAGGGGGGGGAAGCGCCGATCCGAGAAACCGCGCGGGCCTCCGACAATTTACGCTTAAACTGCTGCTTCTTCTTCGAAGGACGGATTGGGAGGAGGAGAGGGAAGAAGCCCTGATATCCGGCCCGGCAAGAAAAATACGTGACATCAGGGAGAATCACGACCAGATCCCTCGCCCCCATCTTACTGCGACATTCCCCGAGCCAAATCAATGTGCGAGGGCACCCAGGTCCGAACTAGGACGAAATCGCCTGGGGCGCATACATTGCGGCGCCAAACTCTCGGGGGAGGTCCGAACATGTTCGAGAACTTGCATCTTTCAGGACGGAGGAAGATTAAGAAGGACCGCGGCGCTGCGGATTCAAAACGAGGACTTAATAACACAGGATGGCTCGGAACAGCCTATGTTCCACCCTTGCATAATCTGCAGCCTTTTAAAACGAAAACTCGCGGCGCTGAGGCGAGAGCTCCATTTCGAGACACACCTGGGTTCCATACTTTGGAACTGCTGCATACTTTTAAACGAATGCGGACGGTGCTCGGGCGAGAGCTCAATTTCGGAGACGATTCCCCCGTCCATCCATACTTACAAAGACTGTTTGCGGCGCTAAGGCGAAAACCCCATATTGAATTCCCCTCCCGCCCTTCACGCGTGCATGGTCCCTGCAAAATTGAGGCTTCGGGGCCAACAAGATATGACGAACTATGAGGCGAAACGCCCGGTCCGCCGAACCGACGAGGAGGAGGAACAGGAAGGGGAAGGAGCATGGGAGCGAAAGCGCCAGCAGGGGTTACATTAGCACTTGGCAACAAAACAACTAAAACACACGCCCGCGGCGAAGCGCGCGCGCCGCCAGCGTCGAGACCGCCAAGGCAGGCGCACGGCCCACGGGCCGAAACGGAGGAAGCGGAGGAGAAGGAAGAGGACGCAACGATATCTGATCCATGTCCGTGCAACGTCAAGAAAGGAGGAGGAGGAAGAGGGAGGGGGGGGGGATGACCAGCAGCCGCAAATGCAGAAGCGGAGGGAGGGGGAGGGAAGAGGAGGGAAGTATGGAGTTGCGGATCATGTGACCACGTCGATACTGAGAATACCCTGAAACAGCTTACGAGGCCTTCCCCGCCAGGCTTCGCCTGCGGAGCTCAGCTTCGCTGTGAACCATGGGCCATAAACCCAACCCAGTGCGAAACGCGTCATCCTTACTCGTAGCACCCCGCAGTTGCGGATAAGAGTGAGCGGGCGGCGAGGACGTCGGCAGTCTGCGAGGCTCTGAAGAAACCCGCCGCGGGAGCCTAACTTGTCAGAGTGAGGGGGCGGAACGGTCATTCTCTGTCCCTGGGTGCGTGGCTGAAGTGGAATTCCGCAGTGCGGATTCTCGTTGTTGTTTGTTGTTGTTTGTTGTTTGTTGTCGTCGTCCCACCCGCAACCCGCCCCGCGACCCACCCGCGACCCAACCCGCGACACACCCCGCGACCCACCCGCGACCCACCCGCGACCCACTTGCGACCCACCCCGCGACCCACCCCGCGACCCACCCCGCGACCCACCCCGCGACCCACCCCGCAACCCACCCCGCGACCCGCCCGCGGCCCACCCCGCGACCCACCCGCGACCCACCCGCGACCCACCCGCGACCCACCCGCGACCCACCCGCGACCCACCCCGTGACCAACTCGCGACCAACCCGCGACCCAAATCACGTTCAGGGTACAAACCACAATTTTCGGCGCCTGCGGCGAGCTTTCTTCGCATTCCTTCCAGGTGGAAAGCCCGCGACCCACCCCGTGACCAAATCGCGACCAACCCGCGACCCAAATCACGTTCAGGGTACAAACCACAATTTTCGGCGCCTGCGGCGGGCATCTTATGCATTCGTTTCAGGTGGAGAGCCCGCGGCCCACCCGCGACCACGTTCAGTGTACAAACCACATTTTTCGGCGCCTGCGGCGGGCATATTTTACATTCGTTCCCGGTGGAGAACCCGCGGCCCACCCGCGACCCAAACCACGTTCAGTGTACAAACCAATTTTTGGGGCGCCTGCGGCGGGCTGCTTTTGCATTCCTACCAGGTGGAGGTGGAGAGCCCGCGACCCACCCGCGACCCAAACCACGTTCACTGAACAAACCAATGCCGCACAAGCGCGGCGGCGGATTTTTGCATGCCGTCTGAACCCGCAAGGACCTCTTCAAGCCCCGCGCATCCACACCAGCCCGTCGAGCAACTTTGCCCTGGCGAGTTGCTTTGATCAGAGAAGTCGGGGAGCATGAAGTCGAAAGAAGGATTGCGTTGCAGTTATCTTGGGAAAAGGAGGGGGAGGCAGGAGGACTAAACAGGGGACAAGGAGGACGCGGAAGAAGAGAGGATGGAAGGAGAGTGCGGAGAAAGAAAAGGAAGAGGAGCAGGAGGACGAGGAGGGGGAGGAGGGGGAGGATGATGACGATGGACGGCAATGGGAGGACGATGGTGGAGGCCGATGAGGGGGAGGACGACAATGGGGGGACGATGATAAAAGGACGAGGGGGGGGAGAGGGAGGACGAGGAAGAAGAGGAGGAGGAGGACGAGGTGGACGAGGAGGATGACGATGACGATGAGGACGAGGACGAGGAAGAGGAGGAGGAGGAGGAGGAGGAGGAGGAGAGCGCCATCGACAGGGAAGGTGGGGGCCACGAGGTCCGCCGGCTCGACGACGCCCGCGTCGCCCGCGCCCACCCCCTCACTCTTATCCGCACTCGCGGGGTGCGACATACAATTTCTTCAGCCAGCCCTTCGCAGGCACCGCTTTTTCGTTCAAACAATGTGGGTGGGTCGCGTGGTGTGTCGCGGGTGTGTCGCGGTTGGGTCGCGGGTGGGTCGCGGGGTGGGTCGCGGGTGGGTCGCGGGTGGGTCGTGGTGTGGGTCGCAGGTGGGTCGCGGGTGGGTCGTGGGGTGGGTCGCAGGTGGGTTGCGGGTGGGTCGCGGGGGGGACGACGACAACAAACAACAACTATCCGCACCGCAGAACCTCACTTCAGCCACGAACCCAGGGACAGTGAATGACCGTTCGGCCCCCTCAATCTGACGATTGCCATCCACGACGTGACGACACTCGCCAGACAACTTGGCAAACTGCTGGGCGGCATAGTTCCCGCAGGAGGCACAGAACCACATCTTCAGCCCAGCGAGATGTGTACCTGCTCACCAGGAGGGGGGTCCCAAACGACGCCGTCCACACACCTTTAAAGCGAGACATGGAGAGCTCCGCCACCCCCTCTTTGGGCGATGGAGGTCGACCCCCTACATCTCTCACAAGAACGCCTGTGCTCATTAAGGATACGCTGTGAGTGTAGAAAACGCTACAGATCATTGGAGCCTGGGGGGCGAGGGCCAGGGTGTCTCAAATGAGGCCTAGGCCGTTCACACTCTTGCTCAGCCTGCAGAGCCTCCACAGTACATGGCAGGATCCTC